TGAGATTTGACCATACCCTCCTAGTCTCTCAGTTCAAGTTTGGTTGCCTTCCTCACCTCGCCCTTCCATCTCCCTGCCGACGGTGGGCTCCCTTCCACTAAGTGACGTTATCTCTCAGAGAACAAGGAACTACCTGAGAGACGTGGTAATACGTCGGTTCGGTCTCCGGTCGGGTTTGCACTGGGGCCTTTTTGGCCCTACCTCCACTTTCCACTTCGGTCGCGTCGGCTCGCACCCTACTGCCTTCCCTTCTTGGCTGGTATCCTACTACCTCCTCTCTTTGGCTGGCATCCTACTGCTGGGCGGCATCCCCTCTACCTAACATCCATTCCTTAGGCCTGGCACCATGGCCTCTGTTCTCAATTGGCGGGTCATGGTATTGCACTACTTCTGTAGCTTAGCTGGTTGGGGGCGCTCGGCCTTAGGGCTTGCCGCCGGCCGCCCTCTTCGGGGGCGGTTCTTTAAATAACGGCAAATCTGGTGGTACAGTGGGCAGTGGTTGTTTTCTTTTGTAGCCCTATGGGTCTTGTAGTTTACGGGATGGAGTTTTTCCTTATGCTTTCCTGCCTAGCTTGTTTGGTCTCCTTCCTGTTGGCTACGTGTAGTTAGTGGGTGGAGTTTTCTTTCGGGCGAGGAATCTTCTTGGGCTTTTGTTTGGCTTCTAGGCCAGACCCTTTCGCGTTCAAGTCGTGAGGCCTGCGGGCTGGGCACCTGAGTTGATCGCCCTTGGAGTGTGTGCGGTTGGGCCCATACCAGAGGATCTTGGGGGTACAGGTTTTCTCTTGGTCCAGGGTGAAGGGGTTTTCTTAACACCATAGCTAGTGCTGCATGCGATGTTCTTGTACCTTAAACAAGTAACTAAATGATTATAAAAAAAAATAAAAAAAAAATAAAAAAAAGATAAAAAATACCTCTTCTTCTCTAGCCTTTTCTCTGATATTCTCCCATATCCCTAGAAAGTTATAATGATTATAAATATCAATAATTAACTTCCCAGTAACTCCATCCTTAGCGGATGAAGACTTAGGAAATACAAGTAAAAAAATACCATGAGTTTGACTATGAAAACAACCAGTTATTATCTGGCTAATCCCTCTCTCACCTCTCTTAGCCTTAGGTTCAACACAATCCTTATTCCATTTCACATATAGGTATCCGAAAACCCATTTTCTCCTCTTGCCTCCTCCCCTTTCCACAGCTACCTCATCCTCCCATATTGCCTTCCTTGTCCACATCTCCAATGTCGATTACCTATGAGCTAATGCCCATTCCAACTTCTCTTGAGCTAGATCCTCATCCCAATAACCTCTCTCTTGTACTATCCACTTTCTAAGATGCTTTTTTTCAAGTCTTCTCCTTACTGTCCTACTAGAAACATTGGGAGCAACTTTCTCAGCAATGTCAGAATAGGTAGTATAGTGATTTTTAAGAGCTTCCTCCACCATAGCATCATCTTGTGACTTGGTAGTTTTGGGATATCTTCCTCTACCCTTATTCTCCTTGTCCACTTGAGCTTACTTTGCAATCATGTCTCTGACAGTAGTGTAGGGGATATTAAGGTAGTGGGAAATTTGCTGATATCTCATCTGAGACTTGTATAAGCCAAGAATCCTCCCCCTGGTAAACTCAGAGAAATGTGTAGAGAGAATAGGTTTTTTGGCACGACTGTGAAGAATAGGAGGCATAGTTTATTGAAAAAAAGAATTGAGCAGAATGGTTTCTTCTTGATTGACTTAGAGTAATTTTTTTAGGTACTGTTGAGAGTGCGGAGTGATGAAGAGGGGTGGGTTGCCACCAATTGTTGAATCACGGTTAATTTTGTCGATGCACAATACTCACTGTCAACTGTATGAAGTGTATCAAGTGAGGTATGAATACAAGGATTTTGATGTCATAATAGTTCTAAATAGGCTGGGATTTCTAGAAGCTGTTCTTGCTGATACTCAATTATATCGTTGACTAGGGATGCTAGTGCTAATCGTGCTGCCTCAGTATTTACCCTAATGTCATAGTTGAGTTGAAGGATATCGATAATTTGCCGAGTAGTCGTATCACGTGTAACAAAAAGGTGCTCTAGGACTTTTCACCGGAGCTATGATTGGCTATTATGAACTTCTCGAACAGTTGATATTCTGCCAATATAGGTATACCGCTCTTTTAGAATTTTTAGTTGGATTTCCTTATTTCGATTATGGCTTACAAAGACTCTCCATTCACATTCTGGGATTCGGCAAGCGTAATTGGCTTGCTGGCTATCCTTAATTCGGACCTTGAATGCAAAGCGGTCCTTGACCACCCATTCGTCAACCTGTAACGGGAGGACAGACCAATTACGAAAAAGATCATTAACTTGAAATGGAGATGGCAAGTTCGTTATGAATAAAAAAGATAGGAAAAACTAGAGTCTTGTGCACTTGTAGTGTGGAATTTCTACTGACCTATTTCTATTGTTTTTATTTTTTTACTCTATTTATCTCTAAGTGCACAGATGGAGTTCCTTTGTTTTGCTGGTCCATTCGCTGTTGCAATAGAAACCACGATCATAGCTGAAGGTTTTACATTTTTTAATAGTTTATTTCTCGGTGGATGGTATCCGAAAGGTTTGTATGCCAAGCGCATGGTATGGAAAAGGTTTTCTCATGATACAAGCACCCAGTAATATATTTTCGTACTCGTACTCTACTTGTACAAGACAGGAACCCTTTTCTATCCTCCCACCCCTGTCCTGAACAAAAACATATTTCCAAGTATGATAATTAGCTTGTCTATCCCTGGTCTTAATACTTGTATCATACCGGTATACAGTACTCGAGTACTCGTACAGTAGTGCTCTTAGTTTTAGTCGGCGACAACTTTTTGAGGCGGCGACCATTAGTAATGCAACACAAAAGACTGCGATCGCAGGCACAGAACTTTGGGTAATGCGATCCTCTGCTCTATCGCTCCACTCAACTAAACAGTCAAGGCAGGAGTCCCGGTATATGAATCGCAGCAAAGGCATTATCCTTCCTACCTTTCCATCGATCGCCGCACATATCCGCTTTTGTCCACCCCGATACTAATAAGAGCATGACAGGCTTCATAAAGTTTCACACCGTTCGAAGCCTCCACTCCGCTCGGTCCCCTTGACTCTCTCCTGCACTGCTTCCGACGGATACATTATTTCTTCCCGTGGATGCATTAATCCAAAGCGCATCTCTGAAACCTTTTTCCGAACAAATGAAACAATATCCCGACCTTGCCGAGCAGCATCCATAATTTTTTCCAACAAGTGGTACCTTCGGCGACTTCCAAGATCCGTGTACTCGTAAGCGTGGCTGATTCGGACCTGGGTCCGCCATCCGCCACCCTTCCATTCAATAAACCCGATTCCTAATAGTCGCTGAAACATGGATCATGCCCTTTTTACCGCTATCTCCATGGGTTCTTCGTCTAGGACATAAGCTTCATAGATTCAGAATCTAGATAATACTGAGGACACAGGTCTACTGAGTGACCCACCACGTGTGTTATACCGGTATCGTCCGACGCCCTTCGCATGCTAAAATCGACAAAGCTACATTCTCGGTGGCCCGCTGTACCTGGAGAAATCTAGAATGAAGGTACCACCTTCAAGAACCGATTCCGAGTTTACTAATAGTTAGTTTGAATTAGCCACCGTTCATCCACTTCTATCGAGCTCATCCTAACCTTGGTTTTCCTAATACTACAAGCACTATTACAGGCTCTAAGCATATCTGTCAGGCAGTCAAGCAGATAAACTCGATAATGGGATTTCCGGTGGTTAAAACTTCTCTCTTCGTCATGCCGGACCCAAGCCCCAACCACCGTCTTCCGGGTGTTCTGGGAGACTGCCTGTCACGCATTGCGAACCCCACTCCTCGCAAACTCCGTTTGCTATGGTGGCTGTGGTGTACTACTAGTGTCATACCTCCCGCCCGTTGCACCGGCGTGTCCTATATTTCCAAATACTTGTGCAGGGGCATCCAAGAGGGGTAGCGGCATTGTCCTTGTCTGCCGAGTGATAGAGCACCTCCGTGTGATAGATGTTTAACCACTCATGAGTTTTCGCAAGTTTTAATATATGATATTGCCCCCCAGGACTCCACATACTGCTTATTACTCAAAAGGTTGAATTGAGTGAGCCGTATACGTTGTAGCCCGTGTTTTAAATCAAGCGACTCGATGGCGAGTGAGGTGGGATTGTGAGCGAAATAATTCGTCTGTCCAATATACTTTATATGGCTGGGCTACCCCGCAATCTTGGGCCGTTTCTTTTGCTGGCATAATAGTTTCCCTTGATTGTCATTTATCAATGTATTTTATATTGAGTTTGATATACTGTGCCGGTCGCCGACCAATTGGGAACTTCATGACCCACTACCGTATTGTGGAATACCAGCGGCGATGGTGGTCGATGCTCATTAGCAACGAGATCCCTCCTATTCAAGAGGTGGTCCTGTCGTTCGAGAAATCGAGTCAATCTGTCAGGGCTAGCGGGGCTGGAACGGATGCTACAATTATTTGAATGCGGTAGTCTATCGTGTGAGGCAGGTTGCGTTGTGTGTATACTCCTCGAAAACAGCCTAGTGTTATATGGGCTAGCCTCGGCATCGAGGAAAAGTGGTTCAGCGGGATGGGGAGATATTCATCATAATATGTGATAGCTTTACTTGTATCGCCATCCAGGGTAATTAGTAGACATACTCGAGTACTGTATTAGTACATGTTCAACTTTAGCCCGTGTTGTCTCCTGGTCTACACTTGAATCAGCAGTAGCCTGTTTTGCAAATCGCATTTGGGTACCGTGAGACAGTTGCCGTGGCAACGAGAGCAAGCCACGATCCTAAATTTATCACGGAGCTTCCCTATTGGTCTTGACGGGTGCTCTTGACCCCTCAGCCTCGTCTCAACGTGTCAGGCGGTCGGGTTTGATCCTAATCAACGATGATCTGATCCATCGAGCTCCTTACCAGAACATTCTCCCCTTCTATTATTGTGTGCGAAATATCCAAGATTCTGCGCTACATCCTACCGTAGGTTTGATACTCGCTCTTGATGAAGATACCACAGATATCTAACGCCGGGTTATGGGGTGTTGCAGGCCGATACAACTCCCTGTTCAAGCGAAAAACCACTGGGAAGATCGGAAAGAAGCGGGGAAAGAAAACGGAACAGTATTAGTACAAGTTAAAGAATAAGTGTACGGACTGAGTAAGTGTAGCCCTTGCACCGGGAGAAGTTCAGGGTTCCAACAAGTGCTCCAGGGAACAATCCTTAAAACTAACTCTTTATAGTACCAAACGTCGCGGCTCTAGGAAGAATAATTCCCGATTGTGCGTACAGTAATCAAGTGCTTTAGAGAAACAAGCCAACATTTACCCCCCAATAGGCAACGAAAATCGCTTCCGGAAGACCGCGGCAAGAGGTGCGGCCCAAGCCAAGAGTCCTGTGTGCTAGAGGCAGTATAGGGAGGGCTTGAGCTGCAAAATCTCCATATCGAAATAACAGCTCAGGGGGGGTACAGCAGATTAGAAATTATGCGTCGGTTTATGAGGGCAGGCGTGCAGCAAATGCGGAGCCTAGATCATCGAGATAGCATGAGGAACATGAATAACGAAGGCGTGGCACTGAACCGGCAGGGGAAGTACAACGAAGCCGAGATATTGCATCGACGTGCATTGTCGGGCCGGGAGAAAGCGCTCGGGCTAGATCATCGCGATACATTGCTAAGTGTCAACAATCTTGGTACGACTCTGCACAAACAAGGAAAGTACGAAGAGGCCGAGATTATGCATCGACGTGCATTGGCGGGCCGAGAGAAAATGCTCGGGCTAGACCATCAAGATACCTTATGGAGTGTCAGCGAACTTGGTGCGACCCTGCATGGCCAAGGAAAGTACGAAGAGGCCGAGATTATGCATCGACGTGCATTGGCGGGCGGGGAGAAAGCGCTCGGGCTATATCATTGTGATACATTACTGAGTGTCAACAATCTTGGTGAGACTCTGCACACGCAAGGAAAGTACGAAGAGGCTGAGATTATGCATCGACGTGCATTGGCAGGCTGGGAGAAAGCGCTCGGAATAGACCATCGTGATACGTTACGGAGTGTCAACAATCTTGGTGCGACCCTGCATGGCCAAGGAAAGTACGAAGAGGCTGAGATTATGCATCGGCGTGCATTGGCGGGCCGAGAGAAAATGCTTGGGTTAGACCATCAAGATACCTTACTGAGTTTCAGAAAACTTGGTGCGACTCTGCACAAACAAGGAAAGTACGAAGAGGCCGAGATTATGCATCGACGTGCATTGGCGGGCCGAGAGAAAGCGCTCGGACCAGACCATCAAGATACCTTACGGAGTGTCAGCGAACTTGGTGCGGCTCTGCAAACACAAGGAAAGTATGAAGAAGCCGAGATTATGCATCGACGCGCATTGGCGGGCCGAGATAAAATGCTAGGGCAAGACCATCAAGATACCTTAAGGAGTGTCAGCAAACTTGGTGCGACTCTGCATGGCCAAGGAAATTACGAAGGGGCCGAGATTATGCATCGACGTGCATTGGCGGGCCGAGAGAAAATGCTCGGGCTAGACCATCAACATACCTTGAGGAGTGTCAGCGAACTTGGCGTGACTCTGCATGGCCAAGGAAAGTACGAAGAGGCCGAGATTATGCATCAACGTGCATTGGCGGGCCGAGAGAAAGTGCTCGGGCAAGACCATCAAGATACCTTACGGAGTGTTAGCGCACTTGGTGCGACTCCACATGGCCAAGGAAGGTATGGGGGGGCCGAGATTACGCATCGACGTGCATTGGCGGGCCGGGAGAAGGCGCTCGGGCTAGATCATCGTGATACATTGCTAAGTGTCAACAATCTTGGTGCGACTCTGCACAAACAAGGAAAGTACGAAGAGGCCGAGATTGTGCATCGACGTGCATTGGCGGGCCGAGAGAAAATGCTCGGGCTAGACCATCAACATACCTTGAGGAGTGTCAGCGAACTTGGTGTGACTCTGCATGGCCAAGGAAAGTACGAAGAGGCCGAGATTACGCATCGACGTGCATTGGCAGGCCGGGAGAAAGCGCTCGGAATAGATCATCGAGATACATTACAGAGTGTTAGGGATTTAGGTGTTGTGCTGTATCGTCAGGGAAAGTACAATGAAGCGGAGATTATACATCGACGTGCCTTCTCGGACCAGGAGAAAATTCTCTGGGTAGACAGTCGGGGTACTTCACATAGTGCCAACTATCCAAGTGCGGTGCTGCATGATCAGAAAAACAACAGCAGAGTAGAAATTGCTCATCCACATGAAACAGCAGATGCGGGAAACTCTTTTGGACCACATCGCCCAGATGTCCTACAGGGTGTTTTCCGCCTGGCTGTGACACTTCTTGCCGAGAGAAAGTACGAAGAAGCTCAGATCATGTATCAACAGGGCCTAAGGGCCATGGAACAGGCTCCTGGGCCAGATCATCCAGATGCTCTCAGCAGTATAAATTTGCTCGGCGAAACACTTCTCGATCCAGAAAGGTATGCCGAAGCGGAGGTTATTTGTCGACGTACATTGGTGGGCAGAGAGAAAGCTCTAGGAGTAGATCATCCAGCGACCCTTACGGCCGCCGATAACCTTGGTCTGACACTGTATCATCAAGGAAAGTACGAAGAAGCGGAGATGGTATTTCAATCTACACAGGCGGGTAGAAAGAAATTGTTTGGAATATATCATCCAGATACCCTGCTGAGCGCCCTTCGCCTGGGTATGACGCTGCTTGATCGGAAAAAGTATGGAGAAGCTGAGATCACCTATCGGCATGCCCTAGGGGTTATGGAGAATGCCCTGGGGCCTGATCATCCGGGGGTCCTCAACAGCATGAATACGTTAGGGGAGACACTGCTTGATCTGAAAAGGTATAGCGAAGCGGAAGCCATGTGCCGTCGTGCGGTGGTGGGTAGAGAGAAGATACTTGGACCAGATCATCGAGATACCCTACTTAGTGTCAATAATCTTGGTCTGGCACTGCGTCATCAGGACAAGCACCACGAAGCGGAAATTAGTTATCGACGTGCACTGATTGGTACGGAGAGGACGCTTGGGCTTGACCACCGAGATACTCTAGTGTGCATGTACAATCTTGCTGGAGCGTTGCACAAACAGAGAAAGTACGATGAGGCGGAAATGATGCACCGGCGTGGGCTGGAAGGTCGGGAGAAGGTTCTAGGGCTGGGTCATCGACACACCCTTCGTACCCTTATCAAACTAGGCACCGTGCTGTACGAGAAGAGAAAATACGATGAAGCGGAAGTAATGTATCGACGCGCAGTTACGGAGGCAGCGAGAGCTCTAGGGCCAGAGCACCATGTAACTCTAGCAAACTTTCACCATCTCTCCATGTTTCTCTTTTCACGGGCGACGCGTTCCTTGGATGACGCATCATGATGGCGATGCAGGGTTCACGTTTCCCCCCCGCTGACATTATATTTGCTATTTCCCCATACATAATATCTTTTACCCACCTGTTATAACGTCAGATTCCTTCCTCCCTGGTGAGAGTGTTAAATGGTTCAATTCTTTTGACTGATCCTAAACTATCTTCGTGATCATAATTTGGGCAACTAGCGCAATGTTCTGCCAGTATTACCATTGAAAGGGCCTTTCCTAGTGTTGGTTATTTGACTCATTTCTCTTCTTGATTGTGTTTTGGCCTTTATTTCCTGTATATTATATGTTATATTTATATAGAGGTTGACTACTATCCAGGGGAAGAATAAAATGGAAGGTGGATCAATCGACCTAGGCACTGGCAGAATCGCTTGAGGGGACAAGAAAATAGCAACGATGAACTTCGCGAAGTGGGCATTTAGCCAGGCGGCTCAGGCGTGTGAGAAACGTTTCACAATCAATTCCGCCAAGTGGGTGTACGTAGTCCACAGCTCCTCTATTCCTCTGTAGGAGTTCGCAATATGACAGCACGCATTTGGAATACCCCGTTTGTGCAACACAATAGATCATTAAAACCGGAAGTTTCCAATCCGGCATTTTATACAATTGTTGTAATTCTTGTTTGAAGTTGTACCTGCTTGATTGAGGCTCTACCGGAGGGTTTTTGGGCCCTACTTATACTACAGGAGAGCACGCTACAATCACCCATGACATGGGCTTCTCGTACGAGAAAAGAAAATCAACGACAACGATACTGCACAACGTAGTACTAAAGAGAAAAGAAACGCGAGCGAGGAAACTACTGTAGTCAACCGCCTAATGAGCTCAACTAGCTATGAACTCATCAAAAACATTGTGTCATAGCCAATGACATGGCCGATGCATATTCGGAAGTCATATTGCAACAAGTGTTGCAATATGACTTTCAAAGATGTTTCGGTTACTCATTTGATTATGACAGAGTTCGTATCATAGTTACTGGTATGAGTTCATTTATAGATGAACTCATTACGCCGTTAACTACAATAGAGTTTCCTCGGGAACTCTATTTTGCCACTAGTTTGGTTTCCTCGCTCTACTCGTAGTTTCCTTTCTCTTTACTACTATGTTATATTGTATCGTTGTCATTTATTTTCTTTTTCTCTTGTGCGAAAGTATGTCATGGGTGATTGTAGCATGCTCTCCTGTACCATAAACAGGGCCCGATAGCCATCCCATAGAGTTTCAATCAAGCAAGCAATACAACCTCAATCAGGAAATACAACGACATGCTCCCTACTAGATGCGAGTGACCATCCATGATGAGAACAAAGCTTTGGTAGGATCAAGCTTCGCCTTGAGCCACAAACTATTCTAGCCTATCAATCCTACGGGCCGAGCTGCTAGACTCACGTCCGACTTCCGGCCCATCCCGAACTCGTTCGTTCAGAGCGCTAATGGAGGAAATGGAGCCTCGCTCTGCTTGGTGGTTGAACTAGATTTGGTTTCAGATCTGCTTTTTGTGCCCCGCTCCCGGGGTTCTTTGGCGGCTATTGTTTCCTGTTCCTGTGTTGGGATGGCTTTCCCAGGATGGCATATTGGCTACTTCGGCTTTGTTGGCTTTCTACACCTGGTGTTGGAGCTTGCACTTGGTGTAAGGATTGGGGTATATATGTTCAACGAAGGAATTCCCTCTTTCTCCCGGTCACCACACACATCCACTCTCGTCCACACAAGTCTCCATTTTCTCTGCGTGCTGCGGTGCTGAAAAAACAATAACCTTTATAAAAACTCACACCCCTACCGTTCGTAGACTCCAATCCACCCAATCCCTTTGACGCTTCCGGACGGCTTCCGCTCCATGCAGTCCTTTGACTCCCCTGTACTACTTCCAACGGATACATCAGTTCCTTCTATAGATATCTCCAAAACCCTTATCCGAACGAATAAAACATCCTGAGAATGCAGAGCAGCACCCATAATTCCCAACAGTTATTTCGATCAGCTACTACCAAGATCTTTGTAGGATACTCACATAACTAATTAGCGTCTGGGCGCGCCATTCACCACCCTTCAATTTAATAAGTCCTGTTCCTAATAGTTGTCAGAAACGTGGGTCATGCCCTCTGTACCGCTACCTCTTTGGGTTCTCCGTCCAGCATATATACACTTGGCAAATTCCGGGTTCAGACAATACTGGGGGCACTTATCTACCGGCGCCGGATAACCTACTGTATCTTATACCGGTATTACGCAACATTCTTCCAACATTAAAACCCACAAAGCTACATTCTGGTTCACCCGCCATGCACGTAGACATCTGGAATGGAAGCACTACCTTCAAATACTGATTCCAAATTTACTAACAGTTGGTTTGGGTTAGCATCCGTTCTTGCACATATATTGAGACCATCATAGCCATCGTCATTCTAATGCCACAAGTACCATCGCAGGCGCTAAATATGGGTATCTTTCTGGCCGCCCAGCAGTCGAATCCGATAATAGGGTTTCCGCAGGTTAGCATTGGTGGAGATGGGTTGGCTGTATGGCGCCGGATATCATACCGCTCGCTTCGTCTTGGAGGGGCCCAGGTCCTAACCCGTATCCTCAAGGTACTCTGGGAGACTGCAGGGCTACTTATGGCGAACCCCCGGTCCCCTTGCAATCTCCACGATCAATTCCTCAACCCTAGCCCTATAGCCTGTAGTCGTATTAACTATGATACCTCTTCAACTAATGCTCTTTGAATATCGTAGTCTATAGATTCTTGTTTTCGGCGCAGTGGCGGCGATATACGCCCGTTGCCTCCCGCCAATTTTATAGGGCATCTGAGAGGAATCGTGGCGTCGCCCTTGTTATGGCGAGCAATAGACCACTCCCACTTGATTGATGCTTAACCGCTCCTAGGCCTTCGAAGGAGTTAAGGTATTATAGTGTCCCGCAGATTCTACCGACGTGGTGGGTATTCGGAGGTTGAATCGTGGGGAGCCACGTTTATACTTGTATTTGCTCAAGATATGAAGAATACCGAATTTTCACTTCTTTTTCAAGAACGGTCAATTTTGTACAACACTCTACGGGTCGTACAATAGCTTTCAACACAGAACACCACTTCCTCCTCCATGACTATTTGCAATGGCAAAACTCTCATCTCGCCATGAGCCTGGGATGTCCTGGGCCACCGTGGAGGTTCGGTCACCTCTGGGCTAAGACATATCACGCTAATTGGCCAGGAAGCAGGGCCACATAGTGTCTTCAGTAGTCCGTAGGGTTGGTATACGCACGGTTATTGTGAGGATGCTATTTCGTTGACTGTGAATGTTATCGAAGGCTGCTTTTTATGAGCTATGACTAGATAGTAAGAAGCATTTAGTCACTTATTTAGGGGGGGGGCGTTATGTGTCCATGAAAACCCGCTAATGATGAGAGAGCAATACTGTGGGCACATGAGAAGTAGTATCGTATCTCGTATGGCCCAGTGACTCGGGACGAGATTATTTTGGGGTACCTAAAATTCTGCTAGAGAGCCCGGCTTAAGCTTCCAAGTCATGAAAGATTTATAGTACTGTACACGCGCGATTTGCCGAGGACTCTACGAGTAGAAAAATGCCAATCGGTAGGGACCCCCGGCAAAGATGCGCGAGTACAAACTTGGATGCCAATTACACTAGGAGCGTGGGTGTGGCGCTGGAACCTAGCAGGGAATACTAAAACTTACTAGGCCATCATGATTAGACAAATACCGGTATTCGAGTACAGTACTCGTACAACGAGTATTGTCGGTTAGCATAATTAACCGAGCCTTTTGGAGCTGGGACCTTCAACCATAGGCAACATCGCAACCCCTCTCCCTCACTCCTAAACCCCACTATACCGTTACCACAACAATAACTCCTGGTATGATATGTATATCATTTAAGGAAAGCAAACCATGGGTATCGCCCGGCACGGGGTCAAGAACATTGCTATATGTGAATCGGGAATAATATTATAGCTATAGCTCGAGTAGGCAATAGTGTCCGTAGCGTAGGAACCCTGGCCTTTGGCTATCCCCACCAGGACACTTATCACCTGATTCGGAGACAAAAGTGTTCGAGAAGGAATACCAGTAACTTAGTACAGTACGAGTACCTTCCTGACACAATACCGGCATACCCGTAGCCAGAATCCTGTGGCAGTGTTTGATCTTGCTATCTGGTTTTCTCAATCCCGTTAACTCGTCAACTAAATGGTCCTGGGGCTGATGTCGTGATTGACAGGATTAATTGGAGGCCGACGGAGATGGCGAATCGGAAGGGCTTTTACCCGTACGGGTACGGTGCTTGTGCAGGATGAGTTTAATTGCATTGATGGAGCCGTCGATGTCTGTGCAGAGTGGCAGGTACTGTAGTGGGGTTGTCAATGGCGGACATGCAGTAAATGAGGAGAACGGAGTTGGGGAAATTTCGAACAAAAAGAACTGTTGAAACGGCGACGCCCAAAATGGGACCATTAGTAATGTAACACAGAATGTGACTAATCGCCAGCTCACGACTTTTAGGGTAAGTGCGGAAGTTCACTACGGTAGTTCTCATTCAACTCTCTCTCTCTGCTCTATTCCTCAATTCAACTAACCAGCCAACTGAGTGGTAAAGACAGGAGCATCTATATGAGTTGCAACAAAAGCATATTCCTATCTTCCCATCCATCACCACACATATCCACTCCGGCCCACGCAAGTTCGCTTTCCTCTACGTACCGTACCCCCATATTAAAAGATATGGTGAACCATGCTAACAGACAGCCTTCATAAAGACTCCCACTTCTCGCAGTCTCAGGTCCGTATTGCCCCTCCGACCCTCCCCACACTGCTTCCGATGGATACATTAATTCCTCCCGTGAATGCGTTAATCTAAAGCGCATCTCCGAAACCTTTTTCCGAACGAATGAAACAATACCCCCAGCATTCTGAGCAGCATCCACGATTTACAACTGGTACGATCAGCGACTACCAAGATCCGGGTCGGGTGTTCGCGTGACTGATTCCCAAATTCCGAATTCAGATAATACTGAGGACACAGGTCTACTGAGTGGCCCACCACGTGTGTTATACCGTTATACCGGCATTGTCCGACAACCTTCGAATGCTGAAATCGACAAAGCTGCATTCTCGGCAGCCCGCTGTGCGCAAAGGAGTGTAGGATGGAGGCGCCACATTCGAGAACTGATTCCGAGTTTAACAATAGTCGGTTTGAATTAGCCCCCGTTCATCCACTCCTATCGAGCCCATTATAACCTTAGTCTTCCTAATACTACAAGCACCATTTCGGGCGCCAAACATAGATATCTCTCAGGCCGTTAAGCAGTTAAACTCGATAATATGCTTTCCGGTGGTTAAAAAATCTCGCTTCGTCATGCCAAACCCAAGCCCCAACCAGCGTCTTCCGGGTTCTCTTGGAGACTTCCTGTCACGCATTGCAAACCCTGCCCCCTCGAAAATTCCATGATCAATTCCCTAGCCTTGGCCCTATAGCCCACAACCACATTAGCTACCACTTCGGCCAGTACTCTTTGAGTTGTCTACTGATATCATACTTGTGTTCTCTACGGTAGCTACGGTGTACTCCTAGTATTTACCTCCCGCCCGTTGCATCGGCGTGTCCTATATTTCCAAACTCTTGTGCAGGGGCGTCCAAGAGGGGTGGCAGCATCTCCCTTTTCTGCCGAGCAATAGAACACCTCTGTGTGATAAACATTTAACCACTCATGAGCCTTTGCAAGATATAATATATGATATCGCAGCCCAGGACTCCACGTACTACTTGTTATTCAAAAGATTAAATTCAGGGAGCCGTGTGGTTTTGGCCCTTGTTTTAAATCAAGCGACCTGATGGCGAGTGAGGTGGGATTGTGAGCGAAATAATTCGTCTGTCCAGTGTACTTTATATGACCGAGTTGTTGAATTTTGGATCGGGGAGCGAAGCCAATTGCAAGTGGAAGTCAGTACAAGTTGTCAAACCTGTTGGAAAGTCAAAAGATGAGTGAATGCAAAGAACCTCGATTGTCGCCTGTACATATCATTCAGACTGCGGAGAAGCTGCCTACTTATATCCTCTGATCCAGTGCAGCAACAATCCACGTATCCAATTCCCAAAAACACGGTAACCTTATTTCCCGTCATGGAAAAAACTATCCCAACAGTCTCTGTATCTCTATCATAATAACTTAAATAGGAAGAAAGTAATAACTGTTATGAAATGATGATGGTATGAGTGACTTAGAGTATAGGATAGGTGAATGTAAAGCTGGAAAACAGAAAGAGAGATTAACGTAGAAAATCAACACGAGTTACCCCGTAATCTTGGGCCGTTTCTTTTGAGGGCATAATGTTTTCCCTTTATTGTCATTATCAATGTATTTTATATTGAGTTTGATATACTGTGCCCGTCGCCGACCAATTGGGAACTTCATGACCCAGTACCCTATTGGGGAATACCGGCGGTGATAGTGGTCGATGCTCATTAGTAAAGAGATCCCTCTATTCAAGAGGCGGTCCTGTCGTTCAAGGAATTGTGTCCTTCTGTAAGGGCTAGCCAAGGCTGGAACTGATGAGGCGGAGAACCGCCTAGTTAGGCAGGTTGTGTTGTGTGTACACTCGGGCTCGAAAACAATCTAGTGTTATATGGGCGAGCCTCGGCATCCAGGAAAAGTGGTTCAGCGGGATGGGGAGATATTCATCAAGATTAAACCGTACTCGAGTACCGTACCTGTTCAACCCTAGCCCGGTTCCTGGTCTACACTTGAATCAGCAGTAGCCTGTTTTGCAAATCGCATTTGGGTACCATGAAACAGTTGCCGTGGCAACAAGAGCAAGCCAGGATCATAAATTTCTCACGGAGCTTCCCTATTGGTTTTCGCGGGTGCTCTTGACCCCTCAGCCTCGTCTAAACGTATCAGGCATTCGGGTTTGATCCTAATCAACGATGATCTTATTCATCGAGCTCCTTACCAGAACATTCTCCCCTTCTATTATTGTGCGCGAAAAATCCAGGATTCTGCGTTACATCCTACCGTAGGTTTGATCCTCGCTCTTGATGAAGATCCCACAGATATCTGACGCCAGGTGATGGGGTGTTGCAGGCCGATACAACTCCCTGTTCAAGCGAAAAACCACTAGGAAGATCGGAAAGAAGCGGGGAAAGAAAACGGAACAGTATAAGTTAAAGAATAAGTGCGCGGACTGAGTAAGTGTAGCCCTTGAACTGGGAGTAATTCTGGGTTCCAATAGGCGCTCCTAGGAGCAATCCCTAAAGCTAATTCTTTATAGTACCAAACGTCGGGGCTCTAGGAAGAATAATTCCCAATTGTGCGTACAGTAATCAAGTGCTTTAGAGAAACAAGCCAACATTTACCCCCCAATAGGCAACGAAAATCGCTTCCGGACGACCCCGGCGAGACGTGCGGATCAAGCCAAGAGTCCTGTTTTCTAGAGGCAGTACAGGAAGGGCTTGAGCTGCAAAATCTCCATATTGAAATAACAGCTCAGGGGGGGGGTACTGTAGATTAGAAATTATGCGTCGGTTTATGAGGGCAGGCATGGAGAAAATACGGGGCCTAGATCACGAGGATAGCATAAGGAACATCAACAACGAAGGTGTGGCACTGAACCGGCAGGGGAAGCACAACGAAGCCGAGATATTGCATCGACGTGCATTGGCGGCCCGAGAGAAAACGGTCGGGCGAGATCACCACGATACATTACTGAGTGTCAACAATCTTGGTGCGGCTCTACATGGTCAAGGAAAGTACTACGAGGCCGAAATTATGCATCAACGCGCATTGGGGGGCAGGGAGAAAACGCTCGGGCTAGACCATCAAGATACCTTGAGGAGTGTCAGCAATCTTGGTGCGGCTCTGCATGATCAAGGAAAGTACGAAGGGGCGGAGATTATGCATCGACGTGCATCGGCGGGCCGAGAGAAAACTCTGGGGGTAGATCATCGAGATACCTTGCATAGTATTGGGGATCTTGGTGCGACTCTGCATAGTCTGGGAAAGTACGGCGAAGCTGAGATTATGCATCGACGTGCATTGGCGGGCCAGGAGAAAATGCTAGGGCTAGACCATCAAGATGCCTTATGGAGTGTCAGCGAACTTGGCGCGGCTCTGCATGGTCAAGGAAAGTACGAAGAGGCCGAGATTATGCATCAACGGGCATTGGCGGGCCGAGAGAAAATGCTCGGGCTAGACCATCAAGATACCTTGCGAAGTGTCAGCGAACTTGGTGCGGCTCTGCATGGTCAAGGAAAGTACGCAGGGGCCGAGATTTTGCATCGACGTGCGTTGGTGGGCAGAGAGAAAGCTCTGGGGATAGATCATGAAAATACCTTGCAGAGTGCTCACAATCTTAGCGCGACTCTGCATAGTTTAGGAAAGTACGACGAAGCGGAGATGATGGATCGACGTGCATTGGCCGGGAGAGAGAAAGCTCTGGGGGTAGATAATCAATATACCTTGCAGAGTGCTCACAATCTTAGTGTGACTCTGCATAGTCAAGGAAAGTACGCAGGGGCCGAGATTATGCATCGACGTGCGCTGGTGAGCCGAGAGAAAATGCTCGGGCTAGACCATCAAGATACCTTACGGAGTGTAAGCGAACTTGCTGCAGCTCTGCATGGTCGGGGAAACTACGAAGGGGCCGAGATTATGCATCGACGTGCATTGGTGAGCAGAGAGAAAGCTCTGGGGATAGATCATGAAGATACCTTGCAGAGTGCTCACAATCTTAGTGTGACTCTGCATAGTCAGGGAAAGTACGACGAAGCGGAGATGATGGATCGACGTGCATTGGCCGGGAGAGAGAAAGCTCTGGGGGTAGATCATCGATATACCTTGCAGAGTGCTCACAACCTTAGTGTGACTCTGCATAGTCAGGGAAAGTACGACGAGGCCGAGATTATGCATCGACGTGCGTTGGTGGGCCGAGAGAAACTGCTCGGGCTAGAACATCAAGATACCTTAGGGAGTGTAAGCGAACTTGGTGCAGCACTGCATGATCAAGGAAGGTACGAAGGGGCCGAGATTATGCATCGACGTGCATTGGAGGGCAGAGAGAAAGCTCTGGGGGTAGATCATGAAGATACCTTGCAGAGTGCTCACAATCTCAGTGTGACTCTGCATAGTCAGGGAAAGTACGATGAAGCTGAGATGATGGATCGACGTGCATTGGTCGGCAGAGAGAAAACTCTGGGGGTAGATCATCGAGATACCTTGCATAGTATTGGGAATCTTGGTGCGACTCTGCATAGTCTGGGAAAGTACGGCGAAGCTGAGATTATGCATCGACGTGCATTGGCGGGCCAAGAGAAAATGCTCGGGCTAGACCATCAAGATACCTTACGGAGTGTCAGCGAACTTGGTGCGGCTCTGCATAGCCAAGGAAAGTACTACGAGGCCGAGATTATGCATCGACGTGCATTGGCGGGCCGAGAGAAAACACTCGCGCTAGACCACCAAGATACATTGCAGAGCCTTCATGACCTAGGTGCGGCGCTCCATTGCCAGGGGAAGTACCCAGAAGCCGGGGATACACATCGATGTGCGTTGGCGAGCAGAGAAAAAACGCACAGCCTAGAAGATAGAGATTCCTTACAGTGTGTCAACCATCTCGGTAAGAGTCTGTGTGGCCAGGGAAAGTATCACGAGGCCGAGATTATGCATCGGTGTGCATTGGCGGGCAGAGAGAAAAAGCTCGGGCTCAATGATCGAGATACCTTAGAGAGCCTTCATGATCTAGGCGTGGCACTACATTGTCAGGAAATGTACGCCAAGGCAAGGGATATGCATCGACGTGGATTGGAGGGTAGAGAAAAAACACTCGGTCTAGATCATCTAGACACCTTACAAAGTGTCAACAATCTCGGAACGACTTTGTGCGGTCAAGGAAATTACCACGAGGCCGAGATTATGCATCGACGCGCATTGGCGGGCCGAGAGAAACTCCTTGGCCTAGATCATCGAGATACCCTAGGGAGTGTCGATAATCTTGGTACAGCTCTCTATAGTCAAGGAAAGTACAACGAAGCTGAGATTATGCATCGCTGTGCATTGGCGGGAAGAGAGAATGCTCTCGGGGTCGATCATCGAGATACCTTATGGAGTGTCAACAACCTCGGTACGACTCTGCGTAATCAAGGAATGTACAACGAAGCTGAGATCATGTATCGACGTGCACTGGCGGGCAGAGAGAAAGCGCTCGGGTTAGATCATCGAGATACATTACAGAGTGTTAGGGATTTAGGTGTTGCGCTGTATTGTCAGGAAAAGTACGATGAAGCGGAGATTATGCATCGACGTGCCTTCGCGGACCGGGAGATAATGCTCGGGGTATACCATCGAGGTACCTCACATAGTGCCAATAATCTAAGTGCGGTGCTGCAAGATCAGAAAAACAACTGCGGAGTAGAAATTGCTCATCCACATAAAACAGCCGATGCGGGGAACGCTTTTGGACCACATAACCCAGACGTCCTACAAGGTGTTTTCCGACTATCGATGACGCTTCTTGCAGAGAGAAAGCACGAAGAAGCTCAGATCATGTATAAACAGGGCCTAAGGGCAATGGAACAGGCTCCTGGGCCAGATCATCCAGATGCTCTCAGCAGTATAAATTTGCTCGGCGAAACACTTCTCGATCTAGAAAGGTATGCCGAAGCGGAGGCTATTTGTCGACGTACATTGGTGGGCAGAGAGAAAGCTCTAGGAGTAGATCATCCAGCGACCCTTACGGCCGCCGATAACCTTGGTCTGACACTGTATCATCAAGGAAAGTACGAAGAAGCGGAGATAATATTTCAATCTACACAGGCGGGTAGAAAGAAATTGTTTGGAATATATCATCCAGATACCCTGCTGAGCGCCCTTCGCCTGGGTATGACGCTGCTTGATCGGAAAAAGTATGGAGAAGCTGAGATCACCTATCGGCATGCCCTAGGGGTTATGGAGAATGCCCTGGGGCCTGATCATCCGGGGGTCCTCAACAGCATGAATACGTTAGGGGAGACACTGCTTGATCTGAAAAGGTATAGCGAAGCGGAAGCCATGTGCCGTCGTGCGGTGGTGGGTAGAGAGAAGATACTTGGACCAGATCATCGAGATACCCTACTTAGTGTCAATAATCTTGGTCTGGCACTGCGTCATCAGGACAAGCACCACGAAGCGGAAATTAGTTATCGACGTGCACTGATTGGTACGGAGAAGACGCTTGGGCTTGACCACCGAGATACTCTAGTGTGCATGTACAATCTTGCTGGAGCGTTGCACAAACAGAGAAAGTACGATGAGGCGGAAATGATGCACCGGCGTGGGCTGGAAGGTCGGGAGAAGGTTCTAGGGCTGGGTCATCGACACACCCTTCGTACCCTTATCAAACTAGGCACCGTGCTGTACGAGAAGAGAAAATACGATGAAGCGGAAGTAATGTATCGACGCGCAGTTACGGAGGCAGCGAGAGCTCTAGGGCCAGACCATCCTGTAACTCTACAAAACTATCACCATCTCTCGATGTTTCTCTATTCCCGAGCGACGCGCCCCTTGGATGATGCACCATGATGGCGATGCAGGGTTTACTTTCGCTCCCCGCCGTAATCATATTTGCTATTTCCTCATACATAAATTCTCTCTCATTCAATTTCCGAAATATCCACCTTTTTTTACGTCAGATTCCTTGGTGAGGGTGTTAAATGGTTCAATTTTTTTGATTAATACTCGCTTGTCTTCGCGATCATGATTTGGGCAACTACTGCAATGTTCTGGGAATATTCCTATTGAGAGGGCCTTTCTCTGTGTTGGTTATTTGACTCATTTCTCTTCTTGATTGTTTTAGGCTTTTATTTCCTGTATATTATACGTTATATTTATATATCGGTTGACTACTATCCAGGGGAAGAATAAAGAGGAAGGTGGATCAATCTACCTAGACACTGGAAGAATCGCTAGAGGGGACAAGAAAATAGCAACGATGAAGTTCGAGAAGTGGGCATTTTAGCCAGGCAGCTCAGTCGTGTGAGAAATGTTTCACAATCAATTCCGCCGAGCGGGTACACGTAGTCCACGGCTCCTCTATTCCTCTGTAGCAGCTCGCACTATGACAGCACGCGGGTTGAATACCCCGTTTGTGCAACACGATAGATTATTAAATCCGGAAGCTTCCAATCCGGCATTCTGTACATGTGTTGTAATTCCTGTTTGAAGTTGTACTTCTTGGTTGATTGGGGCTCTACCGGGGGGTTATCGGGCCCTATTTATCCTACAGGAGAGCGCGCTACAATCGTCCATGACATGACCGATGCATATTTGGAAGTCATATTACAACAACAAGTGTTGAAAATGGCAGTTAAGCACCTGTAGCTCAGGCTGGAGGCTACAGTGGTGTGCGTACCTCTCAGATGAGGACGCGTAAGCAGTGAAAATTTTTCTTCTTATTTGTTCCTTATATTTCTTTCTCCTCCTTTCTTTCTTTTCCTTCTTAACAACAAGAACAATGAACTCCACTCCACACCTCTTGTATAAAACTCTCCTCACTCTTTATTCTCTACTCTTCACACACATACAATAAAAGGTTCCCTCATTACCATTAGAGCCAACTCAGTCCACTGCATAAAACCCACCTTTCAGTCATTACTGTTGCAACGACAACCGGTTTTATCCTGTCTGTCGTCCTCAATTTCCAACAACAAGCTCTCCGCTAGATTCGAGTGACCATCCATGATGCAAACAAAGCCTTCGTAGGATCAAGCTTCGTCTTCAATAAATAGGTTATGTTGAAGTCTTGAGCCACAAACTATTCTAGCCTATCAACCCTACGAGCCGAGCTGCTAGACTCACATCCGACATCCGGCCTATTACGAACTCTTTCGTTCAAAGCGCTAATGAAGGAACTGGAGGCTCTCTCTGCTTGATGGGTTAAGCTAGATTTGCCTTGGAATCCGCTCTTTGTGCTCGGCTCCCAGGGTTCTTTGGCAGCTATTGCTTGGTGTTTCTAGGGTGGGGTGTCTTTCCCAGGATGGCATATTGGCTGCTTCGGCTTTGTTGGCTTTCTACACCTGGTGTTGGAGCTTGCGCTTGGTGTAAATATTGGACTACTATATGGATCACAACGAAAGAATTCCTTCTCTCTCTAGGTCACCACACGTATCCACACTCGTCCACGCAAGTCTCCATTTTCTCTACTTACTGCAATGCTAAAAATAAATGTCAGACTCTATAAAAGCTCTCTCTCACTCCTGCCTGTCGTAGCCACATTAAAGCTTCTTGAAAACTTCCGCTCCATGGAGTCCGTTTGACTCTCCTGTACTGCTTTCGACGGATACATCAGCTCCTCCCATAGATATGTCCATTTAAAGCGCATCTCCCAAACCCTTTCCCGAACAAATAAAACATCCTGAGCGTGCCGAGCAGCACCCATCATTCCCAACTATTACGATCAGCTACTACCAAGATGTGGGTATGATAGGATGCTCACATGACTAATTAGCATCTGGGTGCGCCATCCACCACCATTCAATTTTATAAGTCCTATTTCTAATAGTTGTCGGAAGAGTGGGTCATGCCCTCTGTACCGCTATCTCTTTGGGCTCATTGCCTAGTATATATAAGCCTTGCAAATTCCGAATTCAGGTGATATCGGGGGTACTTATCTGCCTGTACCGGGTGACCTACTGTTTGTGTTATACCGATATTGTGCAACATTCTTCCAACACTAAAACCCACAAAGCTACATTCTCGTTGACCCGCCATGCCCGTAGACATCTAGAATGAAAGCGCAACCTTCAAATTCTAATTAGAAAATTTTTTACCAATAGTTGGTTTGGGTTAGCCTCCGTTCTTGCGCATCTATTGAGCCCATCATAACCGTCGTCATTCTAATGCCGCGAGTACCATCACAGGAGCTAAATATGGGTATCATTCAGGCCGCCCAGCAGTCGGATCGGATAGCAGCGTTTCCGGAAGTTAGAATTGGTAGAATTGGGTTGTCTGTATGGTGCCGGATACCGCTCGCTTCGTCTTGCGGGACCCAGGCCCTAACCAGTATCCTCTGGGTACTCTGGGAGACTGCAGGGGTGCCTATGTCGAACCCCCGGTCCCCTTGCAATCTCCATGATCAATTCCCTAACCCTAGCCATATAGCCCGTAGTCGTATTAACTATTATACCGCTTCGACCAGTGCTCCTTGAATTGTCTATAGATTCTTGTTTTTGGCGCAGTGGCGGGGATATACGCCCGTTGCCTCCCGCCAATTTCATAGGGCATCTGAGAGGAATCGTGACGTCGCCCTTCTTATGGCGAGCAACGGACCACTCCCACTTTATTCCACTTTATTAATGCTTAACCGCTCCTGGGCCTTCGAAGGAGTTAAGGTATGATGGTGTCCCGCAGATTCTACTGACGTGGTGGGTATTCGGAAGGTTGAATGGTGGGGAGCCATGTTTATATTTGCTCAAGATATGAAGAATACCGAATTTCCCTTCTTTTTCTAGAACAGTCAATTTTGTACAGTACTCTACTGGCCGTACAATAACTGTCGACACAGAACACCGCTTCCTCCTCCATGACTATTCGCGATGGGCAAATCTCTCATCCCGCCATGAGCCTGGGCTCTCCTGGGCCGCTGTGGAGGTTCGGTCATCTCTGGCCTAAGTCATATCACGCGAATTGGCTAGGAAGCATGGTCAGATAGTGTTTTCAGTAGCCGATAGGGTTGGTATACTCACGGTTATTGTGAGGATGCTATTTCGTTGACTGTGAATGTTATCGAAGGCTGCTTTTTATGAGCTATGACTAGATAGTAAGAAGCATTTAGTCACTCACCTAGGCTGGGGGGGGGGCGTTATGTGTCCATGAAAGCCTGCTAATGATGAGAGAGCAATACTGTGTGCACATGAGAAGTAATGTCTCGTATGACCCAGTGACTCGGGACGCGCTTACTTTGGGGTATCTAAAATTCCGCTAGAGAGCCCGGCTTAAGATTCCAAGTGATGAAAAATCTATAGTACCGTACCTTACTCGTGCGATTTGCCGGGGACTTCAGAAAAACGCCGTTCGGCAGGGCCCCCGGTAAAGAACGCTCCAGTACAATCAAGCTAGGAGCGTGCCAGTGGGTGTGGCGCTGGAACCTGGCAGGGAACACTAAAACTTACTAGACCATCATGGTTAGTCAAATATTCGAGTACTACGAGTATTGTCGGTTTGCATAATTAACCAAACTTTTGGAGTTGGAAACTTCGACTACAGGCAACATCGCAACCTCTCCCCCTCATTGCTGAACCCCACTACCGGTATACCTCTACCACAACAAGAAATTCCCGGTGTGTATATCATATGATACAAGAAATTAATTAGGGTTATGTATTCATTTGATTCAGTTGTCGTTTCGATAGTCAAGTATCGCGAAAGAAGTATCATACGCCCCCTCGCGTCGTGATGTTTGGTTAATCACGCTAGCGTACAGTAGTCTAGCAGAATGGGTGACAGAAAAAGACTTCCACTTTATTACCCCAACGAGAATAAATAACGGGGGAGCCAAGATCTACGTAGGGAGGGCGAGACGAATGAAGGACACAATAATTTACCAACTGACTGTCTAAAAGGGAGTGAAAACCACAAGGTCGAATCAGAAATGACACTACGATATTTAAGGAAAGTAAACCATGGGTATGGTTGGCACGGAATCAAGAATTGGCTATATGTGAATCGGGAATAATATTATAGCTATAGCTCGAGTAGGCAAAAGTGTTCGTAGCGTAGGAACCCTGGCCTTTGGCTATCCCTGCTAGGATGCTAATCTCCGGATTCGGAGACAAAAGTGTTCGAGAAGGAATACCGGTAGTACGAGTACCTTCCTGACACAATACCGGTATACCTGTAGCCGGAATCCTGTGGGACTCGGAGTGTTTAATCTTGCTATCTAGTTTTCGCAACCCCGTTGACTCGTCAACTAAACGTTTTATGGGCCTGGGCTGATGTCGTGATTGACAGGATTAATTGGAGGCCGACGGAGATGGCGAATCGGAAGGGCTTTTACCCGTACCGGTACGGTGCTTGCGCAGGATGAGTTTAATTGCGTTGATAGAGCCGTCGGTGTCTGTGTAGAGTGGTATAGGTACGGTAGTGGGGTTGTCAATGGCGGACATGCGGTAAATAATGAGAACGGAGTTGGGTTGGAACAAGAACAACCGTTGAAATGGCGACGCCCAAAATGGGACGATTAGTAATGTATTATAACACAAAATATGACCGATCGCCAGCTCACGACTTTTAGAGTAAGTTTGGAAGTCGCCAGTTCTCCTTCAACTCTCCCTCCGCTCTATCGTTCAATTCAACTAACCAACTAAACGGTAAAGACAGGAGCATCTATATAAATCGCAATAAAAAACATCCTCCTATCTTCCCATCGATCACCACTCATATCCACTCTGGTCCAGGCAAGTCTCACTTTCCTCTACGTACTGTACTGTACTCCCATATTAAAAAGCTATGATTAACCATGCTAACAAAAGAAAGACAGCCTTCATAAAGACTCCAATTTCTTGTAGCCTCCACTCCGTATTACCCCTTTGACTCTCCCCACACTGCTTCCGACGGATACATTATTTCCTTCCGTGGATGCGTTAATATAAAGCGCATCTCCGAAACCTTTTTCCAAACAAATGAAACAATACCCGGAGCATGCCGAGCAGCATCCATTATTTACAACTGGTACGATCAGCGACTACCAAGATCCGGGTCGGGTTACGCGAGACTGATTCGGACATGGGCACGCCATCCACCACCCTTCGATTCAATGAACCCGGTTCCTAATAGTTGTCCGAAACATGGATCGTGCCCTCTTTACCGCTGTCTCTTTGGGCTTCTCATCCGGTGTATAAGCTTCGCAAATTCAGAATTCAGATAATATTGGGGACACAGGTCTACCGAGCTACCCACCACGTGTGTTATTAGTATTGTCCGACACCCTTCACGTGCTAATGCCTACCAGGCTACATTCTCGGTGACCCGCTGTACCCGGAGAAATCTAGAATGAAAACACCACCTTCAAGAACTGATTCCAAGTTTACCGATAGTTAGTTTGAATTGGCCCCCACTTGTCCACTTATATTGGCCTTTCTAATACCACAAGCGCTATTGCAGGCACCGAATATAGATATCTCCCTAGCCGTCCAACAGTCAAACCCGATGATAGTCTTTCCGGTGGTTAGAGCGGCTCGCTTCGCCATGCCGGACCCAAACCCCAACCAAGATCGACCAGTTACTCTGGGAGACTGTTTGTCACATGTGAACTCCCACCCCCGGCCCCTCGCAATCTCCATAATCAATTCCCTAACCCTAGCCTATATCCCACGATCGCGTTCGCTACCACTTTCCCTAGTGCTCTCCGAGTTACCTACAGATTCTTGTTTTCGGTGTGGTGGCTGCGGTGTGCACCTATCACCTCCCCCCCGTTGCGTTGGGATGCCCTATATTTCCAGACTTCTGCGCAAGGGCATCTGGGAAGGATTGTGGCATCGTGGCAAGCAACGGAGCACTCCTGCAGGATAGACGCTTAACTGCTCATGGGCCATCGCAACACCTAATATGTAGTATGGTCCCGCAGGACTCTACAGACGTGGGGTATTCAAAGATTGAACCGAGGGAAGCTTGTACGCTTTTCCCCATGTTTGAAAGGAAGCCACCTGACGGCGAGCGAGGAGGGATTGCCAGCAAAATAAATTTGTCTGTCCAGTGTACTTGATATGGCTGAGTTGCCCAGCAATCTTGGGCTATTTATTTCGCAAGCCTAATGATTTCCCCAGATTATCATTTATTAGTGTATTCTATATTGAATCTGACACAATATACCGGTATTTGGAATCCGTCACCGACCGATTACAAACTTCATAACCCACTATCCAACTAGCAGTCATGATCACCGAGGTGCATCGGTAAAGAGATACCCAGTCTTCAAGAGGTGGTCCTGTCGTTCTAGGCATTGAGTCCTCCTGTCAGAGCTTGTCGGGGCCCGAACGGATTCTACGAGTACTTGGGTACGAAAATGTTGAAGGTTCTAGCTTGATGTTGGTTGATCGAGATAGATTGTGGAGATTCCGGGAGTCTGGCGGAGAGTTCAGGGGCTCAATGGATTGGTGTGGAGGTTCAGAGATTGACAGGAGATTCTCCAGACATGTCTTTCCTTTGTTATCACGGGAGTGTATGGAGGAAAGGGTAGCATGCTTGGATAGATACGGATAGGTGTCATGATTCATGGAATGGCCAGGATACATTGTTTACGTTTTACTTATACACCAGTCTTCGCCATTAGTTTAGAACCGAACGAACAAAGTTGTTTGTTCCTTACCTCTCACTCTTGTCCATATCCTGTGACAGTTCCCACATAGTCCTTTAGTTTTATCTTTATCGCTGCGTTAGTCAATCATTGACTGCTACGCCCACACATAAGATATAAGAGGCGTGGAGTCCATCTCCCCCTTCATGTGATAAATCCGGTGTGTGTACAGTATCCCAAGAAGAAAAACGCCCCCCCTCATCATCTTATCATCTTCCACGAGAGGTCCCCCACAGTCCGGTAGCCTACCGTATCAGAAGGACAAGCCGAGAACCACCTGATTAGGGAGGTTATTTAGTGTGTGTGAACTTGAAGGCTGCCTTTTGCTATAAATGGACTTGCCAGTGAATGGAGAAAGAGGGGTTCCGCCGGATAGGAGAAAGATATTGATGAGAACTTCATCGCACATGGTAGGTTTGATTGTATCGCCATCGAGAATATCCATCTACCGTACTGATAACCTGTATGAAGCCGTGCTCGGCCAATGACTTAGGTTCACATTAATTGACACTAATTCATGAACATACAAGTTCAACTTTAGCCAGGTTCCTGATCTGCACTCGAACTAGCTCCTCTTCCAAACTGTATTTGGGTATGATGGTCGGGGACTGTTGCCGGGGCAACAATGGCCAGCTAAGTTGATGACTTATCACGGAACTTCCCTATTGGCTTTGGCGTGTGCACTTTACATCTCAGCCTCAACCTTACTTCTCAAGCAGTCTGACTTGACTCCGATCAACGATTTTCGTATCCCGCGAGCACCTCACCACGATTTTTTCCCCAAGGATTCTGTTTCACATCTCTGTAGGTTTGACCCTCGCTATTGATGCAGATCCCACTCATATCTGACATGCGGGGTTACCGTGTTGCAGGCCGATTATACCCCCGGCTCTAGTGAAAAACTATTAGGAAGATCGGAAAGCTGAGAAGAGGGAAGAAGGCTAGGGGTCGAAGAATAAGTGTACGAGCTGAGTAGGTATGGCCTTCGCACTGAGAGTAAACTTGGATTCTAACTAGCGTTCTCAGGGACAATCCGCAAAACGGAAGCTTTATAGTACCAAGCGGCGGAGTTCCAATAAGAATAATTCCGGATCGCGCCCAAAGCCTACTCCAATAATCTAGAGAAGAAGCCAATTGTCATCCCCCTAACGAATAAGGGAATCCGGTTACGGGAAAACTGCGACGACAAGCTCGGCCCAAGGCAAGAGTTGAGTTCACCCGCGTCGCAGCAGAGGGGAGACTTGAGCCGCAGGCTTCGCGCATCCGGATAATAGCTCAGAGGGCACACCGCAGATTAGAAGCTATGCGTCGGTTTATGTCGGCAGGCGCGCGGAAGATACGGGGCACAGATGATCCGAATAGCATAAGAAACATCAATAACAAAGGTGTGGAACTGCACCAGGAGGGAAGGTATGAGGAAGCCGAGACTATGCATCGGCGTGCCTTGGGGGAAAGAGAGAAGGCGCTTGGGCTAGAGCATCGAGATACCCTAAATAGTGTGAATAATCTTGGTGCCGCGTTGCATTGTCAAGGAAAGCACGACGAAGCGGAGATTATGCATCGACGTGCATTAGCAGGCAGGGAGAAAACCCTCGGACTACGTCATCTAGATACCTTACAGAGTGTTAATAATCTCGGTACAACTCTGAGTAAGCAAGGGAAGTACGGGGAGGCCGAGGTTATGCACCGACGGGCATTGGAGGGCAGAGAAAAAGCGCTCGGGCTGGACCATCGAGATACATTGCAGAGCGTTAGGGACCTAGGTGTTGCGCTGAATCGTCAGGAAAAGTACGACGAAGCGGAGATTACGCATCGACGTGCATTGGTGGGCAGGGAGAAAACGCTCGGGCCAGATGATCGAGATACCCTACAGAGCATTCGTGATATGGGTGTGGTGCTACATTGTCAGGAAAAGTACCGCGAGGCCAAGAAAATGCACCGACGTGCGTTGGCGGGCGCCGAGAGAACCCTCGGACTGGATCATCGGGATACCTTACAGAGTGTCAACAATCTCGGTACGACTCTACGCAAGCAAGGAAAGTGCAACGAGGCCGAGAAGATGCATCGACGTGCAGTGGCGGGCAGCGAGAAAACGCTTGGGCTAGATCATCAAGATACCTTACAGAGCGTTAGTGATCTGGGCGCGGCGCTGTACCGCCTGGAAAGGTATAGTGAGGCCGAGAGTACCCATCGGCGTGCATTGGCGGGTAGAGAGAAAACGCTCGGACTGGGTCACCAGGATACCTTACGAAGTGTCAACAACCTTAGTGTGACTCTGCACAATCAAAGAAAGTTCGACGAAGCCGAGATCTTGAATCGCCGTGCATTGGCAGGAAGAGAGAAAGCGTTAGGTTTAGATCATCGAGATACTTTGGAGAGTGCCAACAATCTCGCCGTGACTTTGCGCTGGCAAGGAAAGTACGGAGAAGCCGAGATCCTGGATCGGCGTGCATTGGCGGGAAGAGAGAAAACGTTAGGTTTAGATCATCGAGATACTTTGGAGAGTGTCAACAATCTCGCCGTGACTTTGCGCTGGCAAGGAAAGTACGGAGAAGCCGAGATCCTGGATCGACGTGCATTGGCGGGAAGAGAGAAAACGTTAGGTTTAGATCATCGAGATACTTTGGAGAGTGCCAACAATCTCGCCGTGACTATGCACTGGCAAGGAAAGTACGACGAAGCCGAGTTCATGCATCGACGTGCATTGGCGGGAAGAGAGAAAGCGTTAGGTTTAGATCATCGAGATACTTTGGAGAGTGCCAACAATCTCGCCGTGACTTTGCGCAGGCAAGCAAAGTACGGAGAAGCCGAGAACCTGGATCGACGTGCATTGGCGGGAAGAGAGAAAGCGTTAGGTTTAGATCATCGAGATACTTTGGAGAGTGTCAACAATCTCGCCGTGACTTTGCACAGGCAAGTAAAGTACGACGAAGCCGAGATCCTGAATCGCCGTGCATTGGCAGGAAGAGAGAAAGCGTTAGGTTTAGATCATCGAGATACTTTGGAGAGTGTCAACAATCTCGCCGTGACTTTGTGCAGGCAAGGAAAGTACGGAGAAGCCGAGATCACGCATCGCCGTGCATTGGTGGGGAGAGAGAAAACGTTGGGGCTGGATCATCAAGATACCTTAAGTAGTGTCCGTAATCTCGGCGCTGCGCTCCATCGTCAGGGAAAGTATGACGAAGCCCAGATTATGCACGAACGTGCACTGGTGGACCGAGAGAAAACGCTTGGCCTTGACCATCGCTATACCCTACAGAGCCTTCATGACCTAGGTGGGACGCTACATTTTAAGGAAAAGTACGCCCAAGCTGGGAATACGCATCGACCTGCGTTGGCGAGCAGAGAGAAAACTCATCGGTTAGATTACCGAGATACCTTACAGAGTGTCAACAATCTCGGTACGACCCTGCGTAGTCAAGGAAATTACGGTGAGGCCGAGGTTATGCACCGACGAGCATTAGCGGGCAGAGAGAAAGCTTTCGGCCTAGACCATCGAGATACCTTTGAGAGTATTCATGATCTCGGTGTGGCACTGCATTGTCAGGAAAAGTACGCTGAGGCAGCGGGTATGCATCAACGTGCATTGGGGGGTAGGGAAAATACCCTCGGGCTAGATCATCAAGACACCTTACAGAGTGTCAACAATCTCGGCACGACTCTGTACAGTCAGGGAAAGTATGACCAGGCCGAGATTATGCATCGACGTGCATTGGTGGGGAGAGAGAAAAAGCTCGGCCTGAATCATCAAGATACCCTTGCGACTGTCGACAGTCTTGGCACAACTCTGAATAGTCAAGGAAAGTACAACGAAGCTGAGATTATGCATCGGCGTGCATTCATCGGCAGAGAGACAGCTCTCGGGCTCGATCATCGAGATACCTTGTGGAGTGTCAACAATCTCGGTACAACTCTGCGCAGTCAAGGAAAGTACGAAGAAGCGGTGGTTATGCATCGACGTGCATTGGCTGGCAGAGAGAGAACCCTCGGGCCCGATCATCGAAAGACCTTATGGAGTGTCAACAATCTCGGTACGACTTTGCGTAGTCAAGGAATGTACAATGAAGCTGAGATCATGTACCTACGCGCATTGGCGGGCAGAGAGAAAATCCTCGGGTTAGATCATCCAGATACTTTACAGAGTGTTAGGGATCTAGGCGTGGCGCTTTATCGTCAGGAAAAGTACAATGAAGCGGAGATCATGCATCGGCGTGCCTTTGAGGGCCAGGAGAAAATGCTAGGGTTAGGCAATCGAGATACCCCACATAGTGTCAATAATTCAGGTGCTGTGCTGCATGATCAGACAATGAACAACAAAACGGAAATTGTGCATCCAGATGCAACAGTAGGGGCGCAGAGCTCGCTTGGAACACATCGCGCAGACTTCCTACAAGGTGTTTTCCGACTAGCTGTGACGCTTCTCACCGAGAGAAAGTATGAAGAAGCTGAGATCATGTATCGGCATGGCCTTGGGGCTATGGAAAAGGTTCTGGTGACAAATCATCCAGGTGCCCTCGATAGTATGAATATGCTCGGCGAAACGCTGCTTGATCTGGAAAGGTATGACGAAGCGGAGGCTATGTGCCGACGTGCGTTGGCGGGTAGAGAGAAATCTCTAGGAGTAGATCATCCAGCTACCCTTACAAGCGCCGATAACCTTGGTCGGATACTATATCACCAGAGAAAGTACGAAGAGGCGGAAATCCTGTTTCAATCTACGAAGGTGGGCCGAAAAAAAGTGCTGGGGCTATATCATCCAGATACTCTACTGAGCGCCCTTCGACTGGGTGTGACTCTACTTGATCGGAAAAAGTATGGAGAAGCTGAAACCATTTATCAACATGCCCTAGGGGTCATGGAGAATGCCCTGGGGCCTGATCATCCGGAGGTCCTCGACAGCATGAATACCTTAGCCGAGACGCTGCTTGATTTGAAGAAGTATAGCGAAGCGGAAGCTATGTGTCGGCGTGCGCTAGCGGGTAGAGAGAAGACACTTGGACTAGATCATCGAGATACCTTACTAAGTATCAATAATCTTGGTGTGGCACTCCGTAATCAGGATAAACACCACGAAGCGGAGATCAGTTATCGACGTGCATTGATAGGTGCCGAAAAGACGCTTGGGCTTGACCACCGGGATACCCTAGTGTGCATCTATAATCTGGCTGGGGCATTGCACAGGCAGAGGAAGTATGATGAGGCGGAGATGATGCACCGGCGTGCGCTTGCAGGGCGAGAGAAGATTCTAGGGCTAGGTCATCGGCACACCCTTCGCAGCCTTATCAAGCTTGGGGCAGTACTGCACGAGAATAGAAAATACGATGAAGCGGAGATTATGTATCGACGCGCAGTCACGGAGGCAGAGAGAGCCCTAGGACCGGGGCATCATGTGACTCTAAAAAACTTTAATAACCTCTCGATGTTTCTCTATGCCCGGGAGACAAGGCCTTCGAACTAGCATCTTGGCGGGCATGGGCAGTTCATGTTTTCTCAGGCACGGAATTATGTGTATGTCTATTTCTTTATACATCTTATCTTTTTTATTTCCTTCTCAATAAATATATCCACCTGTTAAAGACGTCAGATTTCTTTCTTCATGATTTAGGTGTCAAATGGTTTAATTCTTTTGACTAATTTTAAGTCAGCTTTCTGATCATAATCTGAGCATCTAGAACAAATGTTTTGTGAGGATTATCATAGAAAAGGCCCTTCTCCTTGTAGGTTATTTCTCTTCTGGACCTTTTTGTTGCTTTTTTTTTGCTGTTTCTCATACCTCGCATTTACATATTGATTATATTGGTTGAACAGTATCGAGGGGAAGAACAAGGATGAAAGCATATTAATCGACCCGGATACCGGCAGAACAGTTACGGGGCGCAAGGAAGGAATTACGATGAACTCTCCGAGCGGGCAGTCGGCTCAATAATGTGAGAAATGTTTCACACACTTCCGCTGCGTGGCTGCACGTAGTCCACAGCCCCGCATTCCTCTACAGGTATCTCCAATACCACAGAGTGGGAATACCCCTATTTCGTAGTTCACGGTAGAGCGTTTAACCAGACGCTTCCAATCCAACATTCCAATAAAAGGTTAGAGGATTCGAGTGACCGTTCATGACACCCCCAAGCCACAAGTTGTTCAAGCTTATAAATCACACAAGCCAACCTGTCCGACTCGGGTCCAACATCCTGTCCATTCCTTCCGAGCCCGTTCGCATTAAGCACTAATGAATGAACCGGTGACTTTCTCTGCTTGAAGGGTTGTCCTAGATTTGATCCTGGGCGTACCGTTAGCACAGCCACTCGCCAGAACTGTTCACGAAATGCTGACAAGCAACCCCCCCCCAGATCTTTCCAGTCCGGGAGTTATTTACAACAACTAATTGCTAAGATTTCTGTTAATTTTCTTTTTTCTTTTGATAACGGTTAACCGATCAGAATATGCCAAATTTGCCCGAGCAGAAAATAAAGGGAACTTCTAAATCCTCCGGAAGAGAAATATCCAACATTGATAATGGCGTGAGCATTGCCAGCGCCTTTGCCTTCCCCCTCTAGCTATCGGAATGGTAGAGAGCCAATATCAATAACCCGGAATACGGTAAGAACTGGAATAATGGGACCATGTGCTAGGACGTTGGAGATACATTTTTTAGTGGGGTGTGGTGTTTTTTTCTTTCATATTCATCGAAGAAAGCAAGTCTTTTGATGTGTTTTTCGTACCTTTTCTAGAGGAGGAAATTTTGGACGACAAAGCGTGTGGTCCAGTTACGGTATTTGAGTTATTATGGTAGCTAGCTGGTGACTGGTCTGGAGTGAGTGTGCCTGGCTGTGAATTTTACCGCTTTGATTGAGATGGCTATTCTTTATTTTAAACACCTTTTATGGTTCTTGTATAGTCTGCTCGATTGTCATCATACCTGTTGATTATCCTTTAGCTCGCGCGCTCGTTCACTTGCACCTTGACACCCCAACCCCCCACCACAACCCTACCCCACTACACGCCCCGATTGCGCAATCTCAATTAAACATGTCTCGGATCACGACCACTTCTGACGAGTGGCTGTACTCGGCCCCCGGGGTTCTTTAGCGGCTATTGTTTGGTGCTCCAGGATCGGGATGGCATTTTCGGGCACGGTAAGCTGGCTACTTCGACCATGTTGGCTGTCCACACTTGGTGTTGGAACTTGCCCTTGGTGTGCTGTGCGCTGCCCTATACCATTTCTCGACTTTCCCACGTTCTCTTGTATCCCGTCGTATTGTTTCGAGCCACTCATTGTGTCTAGGAAGTCACGATATAAGCCAGCATTGGATTCTTGGGTCACTCTGAAATTAGAGAATTTCTCTCAATGCTTTCCCGCCTTCCCCTTTTGTATCGCTTTTCGGGCTCCTATATGCGTTACTGGGTGGATTTTGCTAGCAAAAGTGGCGCTTATCATGGTTTAGCTTTTTCAAAGTTATTTGTTCGTTGCATGTTATTCGGTTGAAAAGGTCGTGTCTTCACCACAGCAGGTTTTGGAATGTTCGGCAGTGCTTCTAATCGTATGTTCTACCGCACCGTGGGACTCTAGTACGCGCTGAACTATGGGAGGCAAATAACTGGACCCCAAAGATTACTCCATATCCAGCCATTGTTTCTTCGCCTCCGTCTTCGAACAACGGAGTATCCTGGATGTTCCAAACGGAGAGAAGGAAAGGAGGGAAGAAGGGCTCACAAGCGCAGAAAACTGCCGGGTATCAAAGAACCCTCTTCCAAAGCCCCCTTTATCGCCGGCTCGTGGTATGCTGGATACAAGACTCTAAAACTAGTAAGGAGTCAACCTGAAAAGATGTGGTGTAGCAGGATCTAATTCTCCCAGACTTATCCGGGGTACCTCTGATCATAGCATTTCTTTTATGCTAACTTGATTGAGCTCTTACCATGCAATCCGGGTTGGGGGAGAATAATGTGTATGATACCCAGACGGACGCGAGACGGACCAATGTTGTTTCCCCACCCTACGTATCCATAGACGGTGGTAGAGCAATGGCAGATGAGGAGCACAGGTGGTGCCTGGCACGATTCTGATATTATACGAACCCAGCTCAAGTTTCGCGAGCCCTGGCGAATTCATGGTAGTCTACCCGCGAACGTGGATGCTATCATAGTATCACAATACCAAGAGGCTACGGTACGAGTGGCTTGAGCGCTAAGGTAGTTGGGATTACTAAAATTTACTAGGCTATGATGAGACGGTGATAACAAGAGGCCTCCGCTTCACTACTGTACCGCAACGAGAATAAACAACAAAAACTTTCAAGATCTATATAGCGAGAGCGAGACAGTGAAAAGGCAATACCAACTAATTGTGTAAACGGGAATAAAAACCACAAGGCCGAGCCAGAAATTACGCTGCCGGTACTTAAGAATAGCAAACCTTGACACTGAGAAAAAGAAAAATTCGGTCCGGGAAAGTGAATGTGAAAAGGTCAAAATCGGTACGGTGCAATGTGCCTAAAGGCGGGTCCTCCGGTGAAACAGCAATTCCGTTGCAACCGATCCAAGTTGACCCCGGAATTGCCAAGACATGATGAGTAACGTGAGGTGACGCACCACAGATAAGTATCAGCAAGAAATAGACTTGATGGTGCCTGCCAGCTGAACATGACTTGTGGCACAACACAACCTTTTGTGGCACAACACAATTTTTCATGGTTCAAAATTGAGGCTTAGCAGAATATTGTGGCTCAATAAAACTTCACACTTTACTCAAAATCCAACTTCAAAATAATATGACATCAAAGATAAATGTAATCTTAAAGATTAATACAGTTTTAAGGTTAAACATAACATTACACCTTGATGTAACATCGTAGTTCAATATAGTTTTACAGGTTATTAGTACTTTTAAGTATAATAGAAGCTTGATAGTTTTACAGTAGTTTGTATCACAATAGAGCTTGATAGTTCAATAGAATTTAGCATCTCAAAGAAGCTTTATTATCATTGAACCTGAGTATACCATTATTGTTGAAACTAAGGGTGAAAAGCAGCTACAGAAAGCACAAATAAAAAGAAAAAAGCACTGCGGGCAGAGCAAAAGCCTCTTCTTGATGAGCGCAAATTATATGTAAAAGAAAAAAAGAAAGTATCTAAGCTTATTGTTACACAAATTAGGAGACAAGTCAGGTTGAGAAAAATAAATGTAAACTTGATTATTTTGTACCTTAAACTTATAATTTCATATTAAGCCACATTGTTATATTGAGCCATAATATCAAGCCACAAAAAGTTGTGTTGAGCCACAAGTCATGTTGAGCTGGCAGGCACTCTGGAAGAGTGCCCCAGGTTGCGAGCGAGCGAGCAGCCGGGGGTTGTGGCACGATTAGTTGAATTAGCCCCCGTTCATACACTTCTATTGAGCCGCCCATCATAACCTTAGTATTTCTAATACTGCCGGCGCTATTACTGTGCCAAATATAGATATTTCACTACGTCATACCGAACCCCAGCCCTGTCCAGCATTCTCCGGGTGTTTTGGGAGACTGTCTGTCGCGCATTGGGAAACCCCCCCTCCCGGCTTCTCGCAAGCTTAATGATCCATTCCCAACCCTAGCCCTATAGCCCACAATCATATCGGCTACCACTTTGGCCAGTGCTCTTTGAGCTGTTTACAGATTCTTGTTTTTGGTGCGGGGTATAGTGGTGTATGCCTATTACCTCCCGCTCGTTGCGTGGGTGTGCCCTAGATTTCCAAAATTTCGCTCAAGGGCATCTAGGAAGAGATGTGTCATCGCCCTTGCCCAGCAAGCAACAGAGAACTCCCGCGTGATAAACGTTTAACGATTCATGAGCCTTCGCAAGACCTAATATATGATATTGCCCCACAGGGCTCCGCGCACGGGGGGGGGGCTATTCAAAAGATTGAACTGTTGGAGCCGGGTACGTTTTTCCCATGTTTGAAAGCAAGCGACCTGATTGTAAGTGAGGGGGGATTATGAGCGAAATAAATTTGCCTCTCTGTGTATCATACTTGATATGGGTTACCCGCAATCTTGAGGTATTTGTTTCGCAAGCCTAATGCGTTCCCCCAGATTGTCTTTTATTATTGTGTTTTATATTGAGTCTGACATAACATACCAGTATTTGGGAGGCGCCGCGGCCGATTGCGAACCTCACAATCCACTACCAAACTGGCAGTCGCAGTTCCCGAGGCGCATCAGCGAAAAGTTCTCCCGTCTTAAAGAGGTGGCCCTATCGTTCTGGGCATTGAGTCCTTCTGTCAAGGCTTGCAGAGGACGGAACGGAAACTACGAGTACTTGGGTATTGTCGGACCTGTGGATGGATTACGACAAAAGGACATGGTCTCAATAAAACAGGTGTGGACTGCATCTCCATCATGTATCCAAAGAGGAACAATGCCCTCCTCACCTACTGTGTCAGAATAATCAGCGGACAAACACCTGGTTAGGGAGATTGTG